GGGGCTGTGGGGGGGACGACTGGGGGAGCCAAAATGGAGTTTTTGTATCCCACCCCCTGCAGCAGGAGCCAAAATGGGGTGTGTGTCCCCCACAGCAGGACTGAGGGGGGGGAGGTCCAAAATGGGATGTCCCCCTGATGTAGTGGAATTTGGGGTCAAGGAGGGAATGGGGGGACACAAAATGTGATGTCCCCCCCTGCAGCAGGACCGGTGGGACCCATAATGGGGTGCCCCCCCTCGCAGTGGGGGGGAGGCCGGAGGCGGCACTTGGGGCCTTTTTCCCATATCCAAGGTTGGAGTCAGATGGGATTTGTTAAAAACCATCCGGAGGGATTTGGAGGGACACGGGGGGGCCCTGGGAGAGGCACGTGGTCCCCACGATGGCGAGAGAGAGAGAGAGAGAGAAAAGGAGGGGCTGGGGGGGGCCGGGAGCTCTTCCCCCAGAGCCCACGGGCTTCTCTGTAACCTACGCCCGCGGGAGTGGGGGGAAAAGCCCTAACAAGGCTCTTTTTTCCTCAGTATTTTAGTTTTTTGGGCACTTCCCAAGGGAAACTGTCCCTACCAAAGTGGCCATAGGCTGCAGTCCTCTGATAGAGGGGCTTCTTCAGATCCAGATCCCTGGAATACACAATTCCCGACTCAGTGAGGCTGCCCCGGGGTCCTGCCTTCGCCCCTTCCCTGCCTGGCCGGGGGGTCTGCGGCGGCGCCTCCGTGTCCCCCCCACCCCCGCGGGGCGGTTGGAGCTTCCCCGGGGGCTCCCTCTGAGCCCCCCAAACGCTCCCAGCCCCAGGGAAGCTCCAAGCGCTCGGCTCCGGCGGATACTTACCCGAACACGCCTCCTCCTGCGGCCGAGCAGCTCCGCGCGGGGTCCAGGGCGCCAGGTGGTCCCCAGGCTGCTCCGGGAGGGACCCCCACCCGTCCCAGCCCCCCGCCCCCGGCGCGGCCCCCCCCGCGCCCGTTACCTGACGATGACCCCGGGCCGCAGGTCAAAGTTCTTCTTGACGATCTCCAGCAGCTCCCGCTCGCTCTTCTGGGAGGTGCCGTAGTGGAAGATGGAGATGGACAAGGGGTGCGAGACCCCGATGGCGTATGAGACCTGCGGGGGGGCTGCGGGTGAGGCCAAGGCCCTGCCTAGACCGGCCCTCCCCACCAGGACAGCCCACCCTGCCCAGCACCCACCTGGACCAGCACCCTGCGGCACAGCCCGGCCTTCACCAGGGACTTGGCCACCCAGCGTGCGGCGTAGGCGGCCGAGCGATCCACCTTGGTGTAGTCCTTGCCCGAGAAGGCGCCGCCGCCGTGGGCCCCCCAGCCCCCGTACGTGTCCACGATGATCTTACGGCCCGTCAGCCCCGCGTCGCCCTGCAGGGGACAGCAACGTCACCACCACCGCACTCCCAGTGCCACCAAACCGCCGGCACCGTGTCACCGTGCCCTGGGCCGCACCTGGGGCCCGCCGATGACGAAGCGCCCGCTGGGCTGCAGGTGGTAGATGGTGTCGTCATCCAGGTACTTGGGGGGCACCACGGCCTTGATGACCTTCTCCTTGAGCGCGTCGCGCATCTCGTCCAGGCACACGTCCTCGTCGTGCTGCACCGAGATCACGATGGTGTGCACCCGGATGGGGATCACAGCCCCGCGGTCCTGCATGTACTGCACCGTCACCTGCCAGGGGACACGGGTCAGGGGCGAGCAGGGGGGAGCAAGGGCCCCCCAGGGGTTTGGAGACCCACCAGCACCTCACCTGTGTCTTGGAGTCAGGGCGCAGCCAGGGCAGGGCTCCGCTGCGGCGCAGCTCGGCCAGTTTGGCGTTGAGCTTGTGTGCCAGCACGATGGTCAGGGGCATGCACTCCTCCGTCTCGTCCGTGGCGTAGCCGAACATCAGCCCCTGCAGACAGGGATGGGGGAATCACACCTCAGCCTGCTCACACTGCAGGGTCGCCCCGACCCTGGTCACACTGCAGGGTTCCTCTCCACCCCGCTCCCCCCGCGGTCCTGCCCGTGTCTCACCTGGTCCCCAGCACCAATGTCCTCCTCACTGCGGTCCAGGTGCACTCCCTGGGCGATGTCAGGCGACTGCTGCTCCAGGGCCACCAGCACATTGCACGTCTTGTAGTCAAAGCCTGGGGGAGACAGGCTGCTGGTGAGACCTTGGTGCCAAACCCCTGCGCTGCCACCTGGCTGGGGACAGCCCGGACGCACCTTTGGAGGAGTCGTCGTAGCCGATGTGCCGGATGGTGTCCCGGACCACCTTCTGGTAGTCCACATTGGCCCGGGAGGTGATCTCCCCCGCCAGCAGGATCATCCCGGTCTTGGCCACCGTCTCTGCGAGGACACGGTGACATCAGCGCCGGGTCACCACCGGCGTCACCCACCCACTGTCCCCCGGTGCCCCCACTCACCACAGGCCACCTTGGCATCGGGGTCCTGCTTGAGGTGGGCATCCAGGACGGCGTCACTGATCTGGTCACAGATTTTATCTGGGGACATGGAGAGCGGGAGGCGTCACAGTGGCGTGGGACAGCCCAGCCCAGCCCAGCCTGGCCCTTCCTTCCGGAGTCTCCGGCACAGCCCAGCTACGATCCAAGATCCAAGCCCCATAATCTGTACTCTGTAAACTCCCCGGGGCACACAGAGCCCTTGCCTTGTCGCCAGCCTGGAATTCCAGGCATGTCCCAGTTAAGCTCCAGTTGCAGCCAGGGCCAAGGGGATCAGACCTGTGTCCTGACTTCCCAAATCCAGCTTCCAGCAGCTCTGCTCCCAGCTCCGGGGGTGCCCAACACCAGAGCTGCTCCAGTCATATCCCACCAGTCACCCAGCTAACTCCTTCCCTCAGGGGGCTTTATTTGGGATGGGGGACACCTCCCACCCGCTCCCGGGGTGTCCCAAGGGCCGCCCCTGTCCCTGGGACTGCAGATGTCCTTGGCAGCGACCTTCCAGGCAGGACTGGGGTGAGGATGAGGCAGCGCTTGGCTGGGCTGAACAGAGGGGGTTTCCCCAGATGCTTTTTGGGGTTGAAGACTGAGGAAAAGGACTTTGCAGCTTCCCCCCTCGTGGTAGTGTGCGGGAAGCCCCAGAAGCATCCCCAGAATAGCCACAGGCTGTGGGTGCTGGAGCCAGAGGGACCAGAGCTGTGGGGTGCTGTGCTCGAGCAGTGGATGCTGGAGCGTCTGGAGTTGGTGGGGGGTTCGAGAGGTGTCCCAGTGCCCGGAGCTGGGGGTGCCGGGGGTGCCCGGGCAGTGGGTGCTGGGAGCTGGCAGCTGCCTACACAGATTAACAGTCATGTGCCCCAAACCGGAGAGGACAAAGGCGGGGGGAGCCCGGCACGGGCTGGCACCGAGCTGAGAGAGCTCCGAGCTCCCAGGGGAGCAGTGTGGGACCCCCCTCGGATTCGGCCGGGGGGCACCTCTGGGGAGACCCGCGACGCTCCATCCCCGGCCGGACGTCATCGGGGACCCCCCGGGGAGCGTGGGGTGCGTTGAGGGCGGCACTGTGCCCCAGGGGGACTGTGAGGGAGGTTACCGGGCCTGCCCCAGCCCCGGCACCCACGCGGCGGGGGGTGCCGTGGGGCGTGGAGGCACCGGGATCTGCTTAGTCATGGCTGAGTCACGGCGGCACCGGCCCCATCCCCGCCCCACCGTCACCCCCGTGTCCCCCCCGTCCCCGCCGTGTCCCGCCCCACGCGGGCAGCACGTGCGCGCCGGGCCCGCAATGCGGCGAGCGCGCGCCCGCCTCACACTGCGCGCGCGCCCGCGCGCGTCACCGCCCCCCCCGCATACACACACACCTCCGGCCCACCCTCGCGCCCTCCATCCTCATCCTCGCCCTCTTCATCCCCCTCCTTCCCTTCTTCATCTTCGCTCTCATCCTCCTCCTCCTCCCCCCCCATCCCCCCGCCCGGCCGCGCCTGCGCGCTCGCCGCCCGGCCCCGCCCCGCCCGGCCCGCACCTGGGTGCCCCTCGCCCACGGACTCGGAGGTGAAGAGGAAGGTGCCCTCCTCGATGAACACCTCATGGAAACCGTTCAGCTGTCCGTTCATGGTGGTGGCGGAGGGCGACGAGCGGCGGCGAGGGGAGCGCAGGAGCGACGGGAACCGGGCACGGCCGCGGCGGACTGAGCGCGGCGCCCGCCGCATCGCCCCTATTTGTAAGCGCTCTCGCCCCGCCCCGCCGGCCGGTCCAACCAATGGCGAGAGCTGTGAGCGCCGCGGGGGCGGAGCGGCGGGACCACTGCGGCTGAGCAGGGGGAGTGCGTTATGTAACGCCGAACGCGGGCTCCGCCGCCGGGATAGCTCCGTGCTCCCCGCCGCCGGCCGGCCGCTGACCGGCGTTAAACGGGCGTGCGGACCGTGTCCGCTGCCCCGCGCGGCGCGGCGCGCTGGGCATGCAGCGCCGTTCCCCGCGGTCCCCCCCGTGATGGCCGCATGGAGCGGCCCACGCGGCCCGGCGGCGCGAGGCGCGCGGCGCTCTGCACATGCGCCGTGGGTCGGCGCGGGACGCGCACTCGCGGGGCGCTGAGGACGGCCCCGCCCCCCCGCCGCCATCTTGCGCCGAGCGGCGCCGCCATTGTGCGGCCTCGGCCCCGCGGGCCCCGGCCTGGCCTCGGCCCGGCCCCCCGCGCCCCCGCCCGGCTCCGGCCCACGGGACTGCCCCGGCACCGCGGCCCGGCGGGGCAGTGTGCCAATGAGCGCGGGTACGGCCCCGGATAGCGCCCTGGGCCCTTGGGGCCACTCGACGCCTGATGCAACCCCCGCCCCGTGTTGCCAGTGCTGGAGCCGCCCTGGGCCCGGCTCCCGCCGCCGCCTTCTCCCGGCCCCGCCCGGGGCTCCCTCGCGTCCTGCGGCTGCACACGGGGCTCCCCGGGAGCCAGGGAGGCTGGGCGGCCTTCCACGTGCCCAGGGCAGACGAACAGCCAGGACAGAGCCCGGCACCCACCCGCTGGGACAGACACCCAGGGTACCAGTGCCCGGGACAGGTGGACACCAGACACCCACACAGACACCCTGGACAGACAGACACCCAGGGTACCAGTGCCCAGGACAGGTGGACACCAGACACCCACACAGCCGTGGCTGATGAGACACCCTGTACAGATACCCAGCAGCCCCGTGCCCAAGACAGAGACACTCAAGCCCCACAGACACCCAGCAACCCCATGCCCAGGACAGACGGGCACTCAGGACACACACCCATGACACCCCCAACTCCGGGACAGAGGGACAAAGGCTCCTGTGCCCAGGACAGACGGACCCCCCATAGCTGGGACAGACAGACACACGGACACCCCCGCACACCCGGGGCCAGGACAGACAGACCCCCAGCCAACCCCGGCCATGTGCGCTCTGGGGGCGGAGCCTTGGGGCACGCCCCGCCTCCATACCGGACATTTATCAGGGGCGTGGCTTCGCACGACGTGTATTTGCATATGGGGTGGGGTTAATTTGCATACGGCGCGGGCCGGTGCCTGCAAAGTCCCGATCCTGATCCCTCCTCCCCGGACCCCCCCGTCTCCCAAAATCCCCCTCTGCCACCACATCAGAGAGCTCGGTTTTTTGTAAAAAATGGTTTATGGGTTCCATTTTTGTATAAAACGCGGGGCAGCCCAGCCCCTCAACCCCCCCCGGCTGCCGCCCCACGGGCCCGCGGTGTGTCCCACTCAGAATCTAAACCCATCCCAATGTTTCCTCTACAGTCAATCCTCTATGTTCTTCCTTTCAACTATTCCTTAAAAAAAATTCCCTGGCATCCCCAAGGTGTTGCTGTGCCCGGGTCGGTGCGATGACGGGGGATCCGGCACTGCGCTCCCTTACGCCGTCTTCTGCTGTCCCTTCTTTCCAATCAGGGACTTGTGGATGTGGGGGATGACACCTGCCGAGACAAGGGGAGAATTCCTGTCAGGAATTGCAGAATTCCCAAGAAACTGCAAGAAATCCTCAGCTGCCAGCAGAGTTTTGGGATAACGGTGTGAACATTGAGCAGATCCCTCCCCGCTCAGTGTGGACCCAGGGAAGCACAGAGCACAGCTGTGGATTTACCCCCCCACCACATTCCTGTTTGTTTGCCCATGCAGTTCCCCCTGAAGGACGGGAAGGAGCCCCACCTCCCCCGGCGATGGTGGCTTTGATCAGGGAGTCCAACTCCTCGTCCCCGCGGATCGCCAGCTGCAGGTGCCGGGGCGTGATCCGCTTCACCTTGAGGTCCTTGGAAGCGTTCCCGGCCAGCTCCAGCACCTGCGGGACAGTGACAAGAGGTGGGAATGCCGAGGGGAGGGGCGCTGGCCCCGGGAGGGGGGTCCTACCTCAGCGGTCAGGTACTCCAGGATGGCCGCGCTGTACACAGCCGCCGTGGCCCCCACGCGCCCGTGGCTGGTGGTCCGAGTCTTCAGGTGCCTGTGGATGCGGCCAACAGGGAACTGGGGGGGGCAATTAACAACCTCGTTAACACCCACAGCCCCTCTGTGATTTGGGCCTGAGAGACCCCCCCCCCCCATCCTGCCTGGCTGTGGCTTCCAGGAGCGACCTGACCCAATCCTCCCCAAACAGAGGATTTGTTACTATCCAAATTAATTATTCATTATTGTCTGATGTATATCATGTATTTACAGTGATTATTGTATTTATATGTAAAATATTTAATTATATAATGTAAAACATTATATTTAGGCCCAGGAAACTCCCCGCCATGCCTGGCTGTGGCTTCCAGGAGCGACCCAACCTGATCCTCCCCAAACAGAGGATTTAACTGTCATTCCTAAATTTATTTATTTATTTATTACTAATCCACATAATATATATATTAATGTTATAATACACTGTATTGTTATGATATACTAATATATCGTATTGCTATAATAAGATGTCACTATACCTTACCGAACATTAAATAATGTAATTGTGCCTTATTCATAATTAATTATAATTAATATTTGATAATTACAATCATTAATTCTCCCAATTAACCCTTCCACGCTCTCTGTCTCACCCGGGAGAAAACCCACCCCTCCCCTGCAAGCCCAGGGTTCCTCATCACTCCATAATCCCCCAAATCCCAAAATATTCACTTTTCACCCCAAATTTAGAGTGTGTGGGCCCCCAGAATTCCTGCTTCCCAATGATTCCCTGTGCCATACCTGCAACCCTGCTCTCTGGGAACGTGACACGGCCTTGGCCTTGGCCTTGCCGCTGTCCTTGCCCGCCTTGCCGCCAGCCTGGGGGAGAAAGGCCACATTAATTAATCTAATTAATCCCCCAATCCAAACAATCTCGTTAATTCTAAGCCAGAGGGACCTGCAGCAGGATAATCCAGCAGCTCCCTGGCAACTCAGGGCTTCTGGCACTGCCTGGGGACGAGGGGGGCTTTGGGGATCTGCTCCTTTCCCCAAGTGTCCCAGTCCCATGATTTTCCAGAAAATGCCAAAGGGGGGGAAAGCAGCCCCAAAGCCCCCTTGTGAACCATTTTTTTCCAGCAGTTGTGAGCCTGTTTTTATTTAAGATTCGATTTCTCCACGTGTTGACACGGGGTGTGGGGCAGGACACTGTTCCTGTTGGTAGGAATGTGAATCCTGCGGGATTCAGAGGTGATTCCCTTCCTGCTCCGGGGTGGGAGCCCCAGAAATGCCACGTTTAACGTAAATCGTGTTTGGGGGGTGGAAATGCCAAAGCCAAGAGTTTAGGAGTCACTCAGGAACAAGGTTTGCCGGACTCTCCCATCCGCCCTCAGGAAATCCATGGAGTGCAGGGACACGGGAGGACTCTGTGACGTCACTGCTCACTAATGAGGGTTGCTCCTAATGAAGGGGGGAGCTGCAGGTGACGCAGGAGGCCCAAGGGAGCTGCGCCTTCCATGGGGAACACGTCAGCACCCCCAGATCAGCTCCAGGTAAAAAAAAAAAAAACAGGAATAATCCCCTAGGCCAGGTTTTCCAGCCAACAGACAGCCAAGAACCCACAGCAGAGGGAGAGCAGAGCCTGGAAACACACTGGATACTCGTAATCCCTGTTTTTACAGCACACGTTGCTCCCACAATCCCCATCCCCCCTAAAGAGGAGGAGTTTTGGCTCACGGTGAGGGAGCTGAAAGGACCCAGAGATCCCAGGAGAGCTCGTTAATCCTCAAAACAAGATGCTGGTTAACCTGGGAACGTCCAAGATCTGCATCCCAGCCCAGCCAGGTGAGAGTTAACAGCACTTCCAGCTCAAACACTGGGAAACAAATGATCACGAGGGGGAATTAATGAACCCTGTGGTGATTAGATGAGTGGAGGGCATGGGGGGAGGCTGTGGGGGATCCAGTCGTGGGAATGCTGGCCCCTGGCAAACCCCTCCGTGTCCTGGCACTGGGGACAGGAGGGCTTGCAGGGATGACTCAGAAAAGCAGGGAAGCACCAGGAGTTGGTTTTATACAGAGAAAACACCACTCCATAAAACTACAAAACCCAGGGAGGGGGATTTGGGTGGATTTGGAGAGAGAGGGAGGATTTGGGGGGAGTGAGGGGGGATTTAGGGGAGGGAAGGAGGAGGCAAGGGGGATTTAGGGATATTTCCTTGCTCTAGGAATAAAA